AAAAAAAAAAAAAAAAAGAATGACCAAAAATTTCTAACACTAAGAAACGTAAGAAATAAACTTGTTCAATGGTCTCATTTTATCAGACTAGAATGGTGGAGAAAATGTTCCTAAGGTCACAAAGCCAGTAAAATCCAAAAAGAATGCCAAAAGAATGGCAGGTTTTCTATTTTCATAACATCCAGGTCCTAAATGGGACAGCGGAGGCCTCAGCATGGGCGCCCATGCTCTCCTATGACTTCTATCACCACCTAAAGGCAATTACAAGAAGGAATTCTCCTGGAAGTCAGACATACATCATCGCCATGGCGATGTCTCTCTCTGAAAGATTCAGTTTAGTTGACTTGGGCACAGCTGGTAATTCAATCTCGAACTTGGGCAGCTTCGACACAGTGCCAGCCTGTTTGGGAGGAAGTTAAAGGAAAAGTTGATTGACCCCCTTTGATGTTGTAGCACGCTAGGTACAGTCCCTCAAGGTGTCCACACAGTGTGTCTCAATCCTCCCCCATGGCCCACAGAATGAAATCATCCTCGGGGGTAGGAGTGTGCCCTCTAGTGGTCACACAGGGGGGAGGTCATAGCCAAAGGCCCTGCCCCTTGGAGGCCCCGGGTAGGAGGAAAAAGGAGGGTTTGCTTTTAAAGAGAGTCTTACTCTTACCCGAAAATAAAAGGGCTGCAGCACATTTCCCAGGACGGTGGTGGACAGCAGGATTACCGCGCTCTCGGGACAGTATATGTACCAGTTCACATTGATGCTCTGGCTCTTCAGGAGTTTCAGGTTTCGTTTCTCTGGTAATACCTGAAGCAAAAAAAAACCCCAGAAATAGAATCTTCATTTAAAAGAGCAAAGTGTCAGAAGACTGACACAGTAAATTAAGAAAACAATAGAAAAAAACAGGAAAAAAACCAGCACATTAAATGGAAAAGCATTACTATTTTTTATTTATGCACTACCAATTAGCTATGTGGTGCTTAGCGCTTTACAAATCCATGTCCTCTCACCGCAACCCTGAGAGCTGGGCCTCACTACCATGTGGTGAGAGGAGAAACTAAGGCTCAGCGAGGGGAGGGGAGGGAGCCCACCTCCCAGAGGAGGCCATTCCCTGCACAGCCTGGGTCTGAGCCTCCGCCTCGTGGGGCAGCACCTACCAGGGCACAGAGGGCAGTGACGTTCTCCCTTATCTGGAACCCCTGCACACCTGCTGCTTGGGCTCCACACACTCCAGTCCACACAGCTGGAGAGCGGCTCCCTTTTTCTAACAGATGCATTCATGAGACTCAGCATGCAGCCAGGATTTTATAATCAAAGCACATATTTAAAATACTATTCTGACACATGAAGGAAAGAATGTACAACACCCCGAGGCACTGATGCTCATGGAACACTGCCCTCAAGGGTTGGCATGGAGGTCAGGGTCAGGCAGCCTGGGTTTCTTGGTAATTCAGCTGTAATAAATAAAGATGTGCTAGAGTCCTCTTTCTTTTAAACTTATTTCTTGAAGATCTGAAACTATCTGGATGACCTGAATATATACTTTTTCACTACGGAGAAGAGAAAATAATGCTTTTAAATCATGGCCACAAGGAGCCCTTCTGTACAGCAAGCAACCCTTTCCATTTACACACAGTTGTTTCTGTGTGAGTGGGGTCTGCGCGGATTGCTCGCCTTCCACCAGCCACTGGGAAGGTTCTGGTGACAGCCCGAGAGCAAAGCACCACAGCAGTAATGCTCCCGTTCTGCTCACATGGGTACGTTTTTTCCATCCGTACATTCTAAATCATACTGCTTTCACTAGGCCAACAAATTCAAACCTGCAAGAACCCTAACTCCCTTGGAGGTCTCAGAAGCATCCTTAGGTACTGGAACATATCAGAAGATGAAGAGGCAGAGGCACTGGAGTAAACAGCCAACAGAGAGAAAAGGCAGCCTATGAGATGGGAGGAAATACTTGCAAATCATCCATCTGATAAACACTTGACATTCAGAACATACAAAGAACTCCTACAATTCAACAAGAAGAAAATAACCCAATTAAAAAATGGGCAAAGGAGTTGGAAGACTATCTCCAGGGCTTATACAAATGGCCAACAAGCCAAGAGAAGATGCCCAACATCACTAATCATCAGAAAATGAAAATCAAAACCACAATGAGACATCATGTCACACCCAAAATTATCAATAAAACAGAAAACTAGAGTTGGTGAGGATGTAGAGAAACTGGAACCCTGTGCACTATTGGTAGGTATGAAAAATGGCACAACTGTGGTGGAAGATAGCGTTGCAGGCCTCAAAAAATTAAATATAGAATTACCAGGTGATCTAGTAATCCCATTTGTGGGTACATGCCCATACAAACTGAAAGCAGGGCCTCGAAGTACTCACACACCCATGTTCATCCCAGCATTACTCCCAATGAATGGCCAAAAGGTGGAAGCGACCCAAGTGTCCATCGATGGATGAATAAATAAAATGCGGTACATGCGCACAGTGGGCTAGCATTCAGCCTTCAAAAGTAAGGAAACCCTTACACCTGCTATACATGACGACCTTGAGGACATTACGCTGAGCAAGCCAGTCACAAAAGTGCATGTGACAAATCCTGCGTGATGCCACTTCTGCGACACCCCTGAGGTGGTCAAATCCATAGAAACAGGAAAAGGGGGGTTCTCAGGAGCTGTGGGAGGGAGATGGGAAGTTGTTTAACGGGTACAGAGTTTTAGTTTTACAAGATGAGAAAGTTGCAAAGATGCTTCCCTACAATGTGAATATACTTAACAGTACTGAATTATACCCGTACAAAATGGTTAAGATAACTTATGTTATATGCTTTTCACCACAATTAAAAAAAAATTTTCTTAAAGATGAAGCACTTCACAGAAGAGGAAATACAAATTGGACAATACACAAATGAAATTCGATTATCTCCAAGTAATGAAAAATGCACATTAAAATGTCTTTCTACTCTCAGATGAAGAAATGTCTATAGACTGATAATATCGAGTTGTGGCAGAGATGTAGAAAATGGAGGCTCCCACATTGCTGGGGAAGGTACAAACTTCCGGAAGACAACTGGCTGTGTCTAGGCAGCTTTTCAGCTCTTCATGCCTGTGCTGTAATTCGCCCTTCAAGAACTCCCTCACCCAAGAATATAAAGAAATGTTTACAAGCATGTTCACTGCAGAACTGTTTATAATTGCAAACAATGAAAACAAGCCAGATGTTCATCAAATGGAAACAGGTTCAGCTGCAGGACATCCACACAGTACCACTACTCAGAATAAAATATGGAAGGATGTTCAAGATACATGGCCATGAAAAAGACACTCCCATTTTTGTAAAAATAAATAAATAAATGTGAGTAGGAAAAGAATGAAGGAATATGCACCAAACTGTTTATAGTAGTTATTTGTATGAATGATGGGGAACTTGTACCTTCCATATCTTGGTAATGTCTGTTTTATAAAAAACATGGATTACTTGAAACATAAAAATAAGAATAAACACCCAAGTGAGAAACTAAAGTTCTAGAATGTCAAAAACCCCATTTGGTGCTCAATTCAAGAGGCCGCAAAACTGGGATCACAGGCCTTTCTCCAGCAAATGTGAATGACAAATACCTGGTAAAATTCTATTCCTTGATCTGTTATGAAGACAATTTCAGTAGAACTGGTCCAGCAGAAACCTAGTATGTTGGCATTCTTAGTCTGAAAAGAATTACAGAAATTTTAATTTTTTAATTAAGAAAAACTTACATATAACTCTGTGCAAAAGCTTAAAATACTCTGCTGTTTCTATCACTCTTTAACAATGGTTACCCCGATTTGATTACTTATTACCAAATCGCAAACTTTCAAGTAAACAGTCCCAAATTTTCACGTGTAGCACCTCGTCGAAACACCTGAATCTTAATTCCTTCCAGTCCATAAAACAGGGAGAAGCCTGAGTTTGGCCGAAAGGAACTGACCAGTGCTCACAGTTACCAACTTCTACCTTTCGGAATCAAAGGCCAGGGGACTTTCTCTCAGCCAACCACATTATAAAGATGGGCGTTATAAAAGCAAAAAGCCAAAGGTTCTTGGTGATGGAGCACAGGCCTTGAGCTCCCACCCCAACCCACCTGAAGCACAGCAGCCTGAGGGCAAACAGCGGGAGCTCTGCCGACTGCTGCCACAGAACTGGGGCTCTGCCAGGGCTCAGTCACCTGGCGATGGGCCTTCTCTCCTTGTTGCAGAGCCCACCCCAACCCCCATGTAGCAAAACCATTACAAAGACGCAAAAGGCCATACCCCACCCACTAGCAGCTGCTGCTAGGTGCAAGGTGCCAGGGGGCCACTGGGAGCAGGCCCCTCCAGCCCAGCTTATCACACTCAGCATATCTAACAAAAATGGGTTAGAAGCCATACCTAGGGAAAGAAAGGAAGAGGAAGGACAAGGACAGCAAATCAAGGAAAGAAATTATCGTCATCATCAGGAAAGGAAGGAAAAACTCCAAAACCTCCAGGGAGGCAGCTAGGAGAAGAACTGGGGTCTGACCCTCAGTGGCGAGGGAGTGGGGGGGTGCGGCAGGAAGACACCACTGGGTGTGTGAAACCTTATATATTGATTCACCCAACTCCGTTTTACAGACAAAGAAACAGGCTTTAAAAGCTTTTAAATCTAGTCACAGAGCCAACATGCAGCAGATCTGGCATAAAGCACAGCCTGCAAGCTTCTGCTCTTAGTTCCCTGCCGCACTGGTGTCTGCAACACCATGCCCAGCAGCCGGGGAAAGACAGGGCCCATACCTTGCACTCCTGAGTGTATTCCAGCTGAGAACTATCCGGGATAAAATTGGAAAAATCCTGAAAGAGAAAAAAACCCACAGGGAGAACTTTGGATCAGGTGGCATTCTGCCAACCTGCTTTAGTATACAAGACAAAAGGCAAGGCCAGGTCAATTTAAAAAGTAATCAGAAAAAAAAAGACAAAAACCCAAGCAGGAAAAATAAAAAGACCAATTTGGAGCTGCCCCCTTAAAAGCAGCAGGCTTACAATTCTTTTTTTTTTTTTAAGTTAATCCAAATACTCAAAGTTTAGAAACTGATTTTGAAAACTGATTTTAGAGAAATATGTTGCTACATTTTACAAGAGGCTTTCCAAAAATTTAGCAATTAATACTGATGGAAGGAAATCAGATTCTGCCTCTTTTCTGACAGCTTTTTCTCTACAAATAGCAATGGTGAATATTTACAAAGGCAAAAATGCTAACAAGCTACTCCAGCTTTGAGTATCTTCTCCTACTAGCTCAAGTATTCAAAGATGAGAGAAGTAAATAAATGGAGTTACTTGCGTAAAGCAAATTCACAAAGTAACCAAAAATACACCTCACAGAACATATGGGGCTAGCTATTCATCAATTCAAAAGATGCCTGAGATTCCAATTTACTTTTTAAAAAAATTAAAGCCAAAAATGACAAGCTCAGCTCCAAAGCATTTATTCATTCAAATACCTTTCTCCTCTTCAAGAATTCCCAGGCTCAAATACAATGCAACATAACCACAGCTCTCCTCACATTAAAGGAAAAAATGGTTCCTGTTACTGGAATCTTGTAATTCATTCTCTTCCAAATGTATTTCTTTATATACTATATTTAAGGATACATCTTACCACAGTCTTTGAGGTCCTTTGAACAGCCAGTATCTTATTTTCTAAGGAAAACTTAATGCACTTCACTTCTCCTTTATCTTCCATTCTTTAAGAAGAAAGAGGATGTTATGACTTAAACTTAATAACTGAATTCTAGCTTCTATCATTTTGTGAGGAAAGAAGTGAAATATTTAGGAAGCAGAAATCTTAGTTTAAAATTATGTTTCTGAAGCTATCAGTAGGACTACTTTTCAGGAAACAAAATCCAATGGGCAACAAGTTACTACAGAAATTTACAGTATCTTGGGAAACAAGTAACTGGAAAAACCAAGATCACATGCACTTTCCCCTGAAAATCACTTCAGACATAAATGAGTAGATACCCAGTGACCTTCACAAACTAGCCACCTCTCCTAGTCACTCACAACAAAGCTTTTGCAAGAACGGACTCCTTCCCATTTACTATCCATTGTGCCACAGTGCACAGGGTGGCTCCACCTCGCTGTCTCACACCAGCTCGAACAGGCATTACAAAGGGTGGTCCAGGGATGGGCTGCAGGGAACCCAAGGAAACTTTGTGGGGAATAGGGACATGCATTATCTGGATTGTGATGATGGCTTCATGGAGGTACATAAATGTCAAAACTCTTCAACTGTACCCATTAAGTAGGTGCAGTTAATAACAATTATACAATAAAGCTTTTAATAAGCTTTTTAAAAGAAGATAAATTCAGTACCTTCCCCCTCAAACCCTATTGAGCCCTCAAATCTGAATCCTCATGGGCCCACTCTTATTTTCCACACCGAACTGACCACTGAGCCTTACCCAAGATATTCCTAAGCACCTATGAGTGCCTGTGTGATACACTCAACACTGCCTTCAGGCGGGTATTCCTATGCCCGGCTCAGGCTATTCCAATCACCTTTGAGGGGCACCCCTGACTCTGATTTGCCCCAACTAATCCAGTTTCAACCCAGCAAACAGGGTAATCTTTCCAAACACTGACATGAGCAAGCCACACTCCAGTTTACAGATTTTCAGTAACAAGATAAAGCCTTAATTCCATGGAAGAATATACAAGGTTCAAGCCAACCCCACCACCAGTCACACCAGCACCACCTCCCTTTCTCTGCATGGACACCTGAGGTTCAGTGCCACAGTCCTGGAGTTCCCCCAACCCCAAGCTTGGTGGTGTTCCCGCCATTTGGAAGGCCTCCTCTCATCTCCACCTAGAATCATCCCATTAAAGCTGTAAAGTTTCTCTCAAAGGCTGCCTCCTGAGGCCCTCCCCATCCCAGGCAGCAGTCTTCCCCAGCCAATCCAAAGATAAAATGTCCCATCTCTTCTGCACACTCACATTCTGAGCAGAGCTTGGTCACAGCGCTCCCCACAGTAACTGTGTGAGCACACCTGTCTGCACTCGCTGACTCAGGCCTCCCAGGCTAATTCAACACTTTCCCAGGCCTGGTGCCTAGCACAGGGGGGCAACCAGTGCTTGCTGAACAGACGGAGACTGATCTCTACTTTAAAACCTGTTTCCTATTAACATAGGCCACCTGTAAAAATAAATGTTTTATACCACCGCTGAACTGCGGGCCTACCTCGTACTTTCCCGTTCTGCAATCACAGGAGTTAAGGTGACCTGAGAGTGATCACCCCAACAGAGATACTTCTGAAAGTGAAAGGGGCTGCTATTGATAATTACCGGTTCAACTTCCGTTACCTGGGAACTCCACTCACCTTAAGCACAATGGAAGCTGGGACTTTTTTAAATACACACTATTTCATGGCAAACACTGACTTAGAAATCTCCTTGAACTACCACACACTCTGAAAAGACCTGGGGCCAAAGGAGGAACTGAAGGCCCTCCTCCATCGACACTGGAAATGGGCCCATCAAGGCCCCGGCCCCATAATTTCAAGTACCAGGAAGTAGGTGCCCGATTTCGGCAAAAGGAAACTACTCTCCCATTTCACCGACAGGAAGTGCAGGGCGTACCACCCCCCACTGCACAGCAGGTGTCTGCGTCCCTCTCGCTACTGCGGGGCTTTGCCTACCCGCACCCCCCCACACACACTCCTCGATCTCCCAGGAGAAGCAGAAGACAGAAACTTAAACCACCTTCTGAATGAGAAACAAAAACACCACCTTGTTTACATGTTGCAATTATTCTGTAAATGCCCATAGTTACCTAAATGAGATGGGATTTCTATCATCCGGGCCTTTAACTACCACCCCAGTAGCTCCACCCGACCGAACGGCAAAAACCTGAGGAAAAAGAAGCAGTGTCAATTGTCTGAAGTTTGAAAAGCACAGACAAACCTCCACGCGACCGTTTCTGCTGCACCCCACCCTGGGGCCTACTAAACTAACGTGGCGCACCACCAACCTGCAGATGCTCGGCAGTTCACAGGGATTTTAAGAAATAAAGCAAAGGCCAGAAAGGCTACCACTGCGAGTGCTGCTCACTGTGCAAGGCCCGGCCGGGGCCCCCAGGGCTCCGAGCTGTGATCCGGATCGGCAGAGGCGCCGCGGACACGCGGCAGTACACCCCGCGGCTCCGCACACTGCTCTTCTCCCTTTCCGAAACTCCGGGGGCGGAAACCTCAGTGTCGCCTGTGACTGCACGGGTAACTAACGACACAGATAACAAAGGCGCCGAGAAGACACCAGCGATCTAACAGCTGAGCGCCCCGCCAACGGGCCCCGGGTCGCTGGCGCCGGCTCGGCGTCCACCCAGCGGTCACTGCCGCGGTAAAGCCCGGTTCCTCGGCTGAGTCCACGCGAGGCGCTGGCTCTCGTCCCGAGTCGGGACGGCAGGAGGCCCCGGGCCTAGTGCCCGGCAGGAGGCCTGCGCGCGGGCCGACCCCGGGCGCCGGGCCGCGCGGGAGGAGGCGGCGCGCCCTGACCTGCTTGTTGGCCTCGTCGAAGAAGACGCAGTTGACCGGGTTCGCCTTCTCGAAGTGCACCGGCCGCTCGCACAGCTCCAGGTAGTAGTCCTCCTCGCCCATGGCGGGCGTCGCGGCGGCCGGGGCCCCGGGGGCGGCAGCCAGGGTGCAGCGGGGCAAGCGGCGCCCGCGCGGGGACGCGGAGGCTCGTGCCGGGCTGCGGCGGCGGCGGCGGCGGCGGCTGAGGTCCCAGCGGGCGCCGAGGCCGCTTCCTGGTGCCGCGCCCCCTCCCCATCACGTGACCCACGGCCCTCCGCGCTTAAACGGGCGACGGCAGGCCGCGGTGGGGCCCACCGGCCGTGACCGCGGCCGCTCGGCGCCAGAGGCTCCCGCCTTTCCCCGAAGGCCGGGTCCAGCGCGGCTCTCCGGGCGCGGGACGGTGGCGTGACCCGGAAGCCCACACGGTGCTGCTGGAGGCCTGGGCGCTGCGCGGGGCCTGACGCCCAGGGCGTCCAGGGGTGGGACTCGCTGCCCCGCGCCGGGGAAGGCTCAGCCTGCCCCTGGAAATTCAGGGAGGAGATGGACGCTGTGCGCAGCACCCTATAAGCTGTGGGATGTAACAGGGGAACCTAGTTTAGATTGCGGGTCAGAGAGCCTTTTTGAATGGCCTCGAAATTGGTGGGGACGGGACTCCCAGTTCAAGGAATAGACGAGAGAGACGGGAAGGAGGGACCACGGGAGACCCCTAGGTGCCCATTCTCAGCGACTGGATGGGTTTGGCCCCATTCACTAGGATATATAGGCGTGAGAAGTTTGGCAGGGAAGTGGGGAGATGAAGAGTTGGGTTGTGAACCAGTGAACCCAAGGAGATATTCTAGATAGATGCACATCCAGGTCTGAAGCTACCCAAAGAGTGACCGGACCGGAGACAGACACTGGGAGCTGTTGGAACGCAGATGGTATTTGAAGCCATAGAACTGGAAGAGATTGCCCAAGCCAGGGGCCTAAGGTGAAAATAGCAACGCAAAACCAGCCTCAGCGGCCAGGAAGAGGCGTAGGAAGGAGAATCTGCAGAGCCTGCCCGAGCAGCGGACCGGCCGCCGGAGAACAGGGCTGTCTCTTGCTGAGCGGACGACAGCTTCAGGCAGCAGGTGCCACCCACTTGGACAAAGGCTGCTGAGAAGTCAGCTAAGGAGAGCACTGAGGAGGGTCTTCCATTTTCATCGGGGGAAGACTCTGGTCCTCGGGAAGACCTCCGCTGCAGAGGAAGTGAGAATGAGAAGTGAGGGAGGGGTAATAGCCAGCAACTCCGTGGTGAATATCTGGAGACGCTTGTCTCTGAGGGTGCAGAGGGATGGAGATGGTGGTGGCTGGGAGTTGGGTGTAGAAATAAGTTAGGGTTTAAATGAAAGCAGAAGCCGGCTGCCCCATTAAGAACATTGTGCACAAGCGCCAGGAACGTCTGTTGCGGAGCCCAGGAGCCTCAGAAGCCGGGCCTCTGAGGCGGAGCTGGAGGACCACGTTTCTGAAGAACAGCAGCGTGAGGCGTCTCCGCAGAGCGGGATTGGTTTAGCAGAGATAAAGGTGAACTCTACAGAGAAGGAGCTATCCAAGCCAGAGTACACATCGAGGGGTCGGTCCGTTCTGTAGCCATGAGGAAGAAGGAAGCTGGGAGATTTCATGGTAAGAAAACGAGGGCATTCCTCTCCTTTCTCTAGCAAGAAAAAGAAAAAGAAACAAAAAAGGGGAAAAGAAAAGCAAAACCTGCTGCTTTAAGGATCCTCCATTTGGCCGTACCAGTCCTTGACTCTGTCATCTGCTAACCAGGGTCTTCCCCCTGGTCCTGCCTTCCATCACCTGTCTGCATCCCTGTGGGTGACCCATGCCCCCCACTGCCATTCCCACCCTCTCCCTTCTTTCCTACCACCTTATCCACCATTCACCTGCAAGTCCATTTTTTTTTTTGCTGTTAATCATAATGTCCATGCCCCTCTGTCCTTGTCACACTTTTCTGGCAGCGTCTCAACCTTGGATGAACTCAGCCACCTGCTTTCTCCGTGGCTGCTGCTTGGGGAGCCACACCGCAGAGGTCCCAGGAGAGATACAAATGGCCCTCAGTCCTGCCCTGTCTCCCTGCTCCTCTGCAAAGACATTGCCAGTCACCTTAGCCGGGTTCATCGCCCTTAACAGATGGCCCTGCCTCTGTTTGCAGAGAAAAGCAAGGCCATCAGATGGTAGCTCAGCTTCACACCAGGGGTCCAGCCCTCCAGCTGCCCCTCTGCCCTTCTGCTCCTCCTCCAGGATAGAAAAACGCCCATCCTGACCAAGGCTGACCCTAGCACCCCTTTGGAGCATCACTGAACTAAAAACCAACAAACACAAAGTTCTTCCCAGAAACACTGGCCATCTCCAGCTCTCACTCCCTTCCTCTCCTTCACAGCAAACCTCTCCTAGGAGTTGTGATACTCGGCCTCCATGCATTCATCTTTAACACACTGGTCTGGCTTCTGCCCCATCACTCTGGAAGCAAAACAGCTTTCATCAAGGTCCCCAGGGATCCCCTTATCAATGTGTTCATGAAGATTTTCCAGGCATTTTATATATTTCCCACAAGCCTTTAGTACCTCTTAATCACTCCCTTGTTCTCATGAAACTTTGGTGTTTATGTTTGTAACTGATTTATGTTTGTAACTAGTTAAAGTCTGTTCCTGTGCACAGTGACATCCATGAGGGTAGGACTGAGTCATTTGTATCACTGGCTGTCTCTCAGACTTTATATCCAGTTGCCTACTTCTCATCCCTACCTGGATGTATCAAAGCACCTAGAGATCCAAATAACACCCCTAATCTCCCCATCAGGCCCTCTCTAAGGGCCCCCTATCCTATAAACGGCACCTCCAGCCATTCAGATGCACAAATTAAGAAGCTGGAGTCTCCCTTGGCACCATCCCCATGCCTAAACCCCAGCTTCAGTTGAGAATTTAAAAAGTTTAGGGATGTAGGAGTCTCCCAAGGGAACCCAAGCTTCTCCACAGAAGAGCGTATCTTGAACATGACCCCTATGGGAATGTTGGCCAAGAGCAGGGAAAGCAGTGGGGGGAGGAGGACCCTCAGAAAAGACTATTGCCTCCTTTCAACACTGGGCATCTTAAATCTCTTCCCAGAGAGTTATGTTCAGTCAGTTACTGCAGGTTTTGGCTCCTGAGCAACAGCCAGGCTTAACCTTTGTGCACCTTGCCTTGGGTCTGCAAGCAACATTGAGATCTGCCTGGCCATGAGCAAGAGGCGCTGTAACAGTGATTGTGGCCCAGGAAACGGCGCATGTGGGAACTGCAGGCCACACAAAATCCAGAGGATCCAGTACAACCTTGGGCCAAACACATCTTTCCTTCTCCTTGATCCATATCTTAACTGCAAACTTATTTTTTTATGTATAGTTCAGCATTAAAGACAATTTGATTATTTTGCCCCATGTCCATAGAGGACATTCCCAGACTAAAAAATTATCTTTTCATTGGTAAATATCAAGATTCTGAAAATAGTCCTTAAAGATGGATCTACAGTCATTTTGAGGTTGCAAATGTTACAAGACTCAAATTTGTTAAGTACTTAATACCAGTTTGGAAATCACCATAAATGACAGACCAGAATTAGAATTGGGTGAGAAGCTTCATTGTGTTATATCCGCATCTGGCCTGATAATTGTTTGTGTTGTCAGAATGTTCTTTCTGTGGATTTCCTTTGTTACTTTACTTAGGTTGTTATTTCCTTATTTCAGTTATTTATGTAACTATCCATGCTTCAGTAAAAAAAAATAATTCTGCCATTTCTTTAACCATTAAAGTGAAGAAAGGATACAAAGCTATACCGCCATCTTAGTGTCTTTTCATTGCTGCCAGACTTTTTTTCTGCTCTTGATTTTTCAGAGAAAAAATATCCATTATATAAATCAGAATAATCCAAATGTTCAATATTTTAAAAATTCACTTTTATTGGGAATAAGAAGTTGCGTTTTTTAAATGATTCATTAAACAATCTCAAACATTGTTCTTTTAACTGCGTTTAGTTGTTATGGAAAGTAATCTGGGCTCAGATCTGTTTACACTGAAACCCATGGAAGGAGAAGCAGGCATCTTGCCGACCCCTGCCTGTAACTCTGCTGAAGTGGAAGCTCATGGTAGCGTTTGAGCTTGAAGACATTGCTGCAGATTGTCTAATTCAATGGCTCCACAAACCAGTGGGGTGTCAGAATTGAGTTAAAAAAATAAAAAACATGCTTTATTGTAATTATGAAAGGAATGCATGCATAGGGTTAAAATAATTCCAGTAGTAAAGAAAGACATGGGATGAAAAAAATCTTTCTTCTCCCTCCTCACCAACAATCCTCAAGACCACCACCCAGAGCAAGCCCCTGTGGCCAATTTCTCTTTTTAGCCCTGAGGATAACACCACAACTCTCATATACCTGTCTTGTTTTAGCAGCTTCTATATATGTTGCTCTCTGCTATGAAAAATAAAATGAGGAATTTAGCAAAGGAACTGCCTCTTACCTCCTTGTTACTGATATTATTTTTAGTTCTTCTAGTTCTTACATATCTTTGTATGATATCCTTAGACCTCCATTTTTGATTAATCAATATTAGGAAGTTTCTAGTGATTGTACACCATATAAGGTGGGGAGATGAGGGTGCCAATCTCCTATTGTCAAGGTTTAGGGCATTTACATTCTATAAATATAAATCCAGGGCCTTCTCTATTGATTATTTCTAAATTTTGAAAAATAGTAGTGTTTAAAATACTATGATTATGTTGTTCAAGTAATTGTACATTAACGATATCAAAAAAATACTATGATTATTTTAAATGATATTATGAATATTATGGATCCACCAATAGAATCATGTGGAATGATTGGGTCTATAGAAAAGTAAATGTAATCTTTGGCCACTGAACTTGACCACTTAAAAAGGAATGTCCCAAATATCAAGGTCAAAATTCTCCACCATTTGCTGAAAAATCATGGCATATTTTTCTTTGCTTCAACTAAAAGCTTTGTTATATAGTCTTTTGTTTGTTTTTCTGGAGTTTTTGATTGCCTTCCTTTTTGTTGTTGACAGAAGAGACTATCTGTTTAACATATCTTTCAGCAATTCTGGGTTTTTGTCAGTTATACAGTTTGTATAATGCACTCCACATTGTTTTTGCAGATATAAAGCCCTCTCATTTCTTATTCTATATTTTGATTGTCAAGCTATTGT